GCTCGGTGAATGAAACTGGAGAAGATAATTTCAAAGTGGGAAAACTCACCGCTATCGCAACGACACAAATCACCATCAGAATATATTTGGTACACCATATTACTGTATTATCATCAGCCATTTTAAAATCAAAATTCGTTTGGTATCTAGTAGAAATCAAGGAGCATAGTAGGCAAATATTATCCAGAATATGTGTATTTCAAGCTCTGTGTATACTCCTCCCGTGACGATAGGCTTCTCTCGCGTGGAGCTATGTTTAAAGCATCAAGGTCAAACAAGCGAGCCGACAACGATGATCAACTATCTTTGACATGCGCATTACAATCCCTGCCGTAAGAAATTTTACACAAAACACTGGTTGATACTATTATTAGAAATGGGGGCCTCCTAATGCAGCCATAAACTGGACTTAATAATTGGTCTCAACTTCTACCTCAACCTCAATTTGTTTTTATTTTGTTCTTAGGCTATATTTTAAGCAATTTCAGCCTCAGTGCTATTCTTATAAAATGTGTTGTCACACAAAATGTGTAGTAAAGTGGAGTAAATTGATTGAAACCCGGTTGTGGATAACTACGGTAGCTATTTTGGAAGGTGCCTTACAAAATGTCATATCATTAATAAAATTCAGTTCAATCAAAATATTCGATTGTGTAGAATATAAAATAATAATAAAATGTCCGAAAAGGGGGTGGGGTAAGCGAAAGGAGATGATGCAGTCGATAGACAACACTACCTTAGAGGCTCCGGGGGCATGTCCCCGCGAACGTTTTGTTTAGATGCCCGGAAATAACCTCAGAAGCGTTTTGGGCAATCAGTAATTATTTTTTTTATATTTGTTTTTTTTTCTTTAAATTTTTTACTTTAAAAAAAAATGGGGGAGGGGCGGCTCGCCCCCTAAATCCGTCCCTGCTCATTGATTTATACGTTAATTATTTCGAAGATCTTATTTTTGCTGCCAGAAAAAAGTTAGAAAAATGTATTCCATAAGCCTATGCAAAGACGACTAAGACAGGTTATTTCAACGGTTTTTAATGTCATTTTTCCGTATAAAGTCATTGAAATATTCACAATTACAAGTTTATATTTGGCAGTAGCTATCTTCAAGTTCATAATACCGTTATTGATACAGCATTATACCAGCTTTGGTAACATATGAAAAGAAGTCGATTGCTACCAGCATTAACATGTAACTTGTTAATGATTTATTTCACATTGGTGGCGCCAGCGGGAAGTCTCTTATACACATCTAGATGTGTATAAGAGAGGCAGGGCACACCGCTTAGTAGACCCTAAAATCGATTAGCCTTTGAAACTCGTAAATTGTCAACATTTTCGGGAGTTTCGCCCCTGACTTACTTTCGAAAAATTTTAAGCGACGCTCGACCACGCCCACATTGCTCTTGTCGAAATCTTCCCCCTCGCCGGGGGAATAGGCCCCCCCACTTTCCGTCGGGCGAATCTTGGCGCCACGCTCTTAGTTCATCGTGATAACTTATTACTTAGCCATGCGTGAACGTGTGATGCGGAGATCCCTACCAGCAGGCCATGCTCGTACGTTTTTTGTTTGTTTGTTTATTATTTATTGCCCTCATTATTATTATATCAAAACAAAATACAAAGTACATAAAAACACACAAAAATAAGAGCAAGAGGATAACTCTATAAGCTGAGCGTTCATAGTTTTAAAGTGTATTTGGAAGCTTGTGGTAAAAATAGTTGGTATAACGCGAAAGATCAATGGAACTAGAACTCCTTAGCATTGTATAATGTGCTGTTTATGTTCAAAATCGGACAAAGCTCTATATTATTATATTGATTCAGATAGGCCTTTATTTTATAAATATGAATCAGTAACATTTTGCCAAAGCTCAGAGTTCTTATTTGTTTGCCATTCAGGCTAAAAACATGTTCTTATTTTGTTCTTATTTTACACACACTGAGGGGGAAATAATCTTATTACAGTTCAAGTTTAGCCGAGTATTTTGTGTCGTTCCCTAATATAAGGGAAGTTACATAAAATCTGATGACATTAATGGAGTAGATATAATGATAAAATACTTTACTGTATGTGATTAGCTTCATTTATTGGTTTTTTAGTTTTTGTTTTTTTTTAATAAATAAAAGCTACTTTGGCATCTTACCTCAGCCTTAACTTGTTCTTATTTTGTTCTTATTTTTAATGCAATTTTAGCCTCGGTGTACTGTACTTACAAAATGTGTTCTTATAATAAAAAATATAACTCACTTTCGACAAAGACTATACAACGTAACCTTGATACATGTATTTAAATAGGAACTTTCATTAAAAAAAATACCCATTCTGATCTATCACTGAATACAAAATATCAACAATCTGAATACAGTCGTACATATTATATTTTGTAGGGCTACCACTTGTAAAAGGCTTATTGTACGATTTCTACAATCGCATCGAACTTGAGCACTGCCCTCTAACATCTAGTGCTTTTCCAACTGCATGCAGGTGTCACACTTCATTGTCAGTTCATTTCACATGTTCACCCTCAGATGATTCTAAAGAATACCGATAATGCGACTTTCTTTTTCGAAACGCTTTTCGTATTTAAAATTTAAACATAAAAACACAGAATATTTAGTGATTGCGTTCAATGAATTGGCATAAAAGGTTAGTGTACGGTTGTTAAACTTGCAATGATGCGTCACATATTACTCCCCTCGATGTAACTTCACAGTTCCGGTCCTTGCGACCACGATTTACAAATGCAGTAAAACCCTTCCTTTGTTTTTTACATAGTATCCAATTCGTTGATAGGTTCGGGAGGCTTCGGATTCGATAATTCGAATTCGGTGTGTATGCGCCTTTAACTTGTGTTGGCAGAGAGCGCGATTTTAACAACTTAAAAAGCCTAATACTAGGTTTTTTTTTTGTTTTTTTTTCTTTTTGTTTTTTTTAATTCCAACGATTGATACTGACGGACTGACTGTTAAATGGTACACTGGCGTATAATAATGTACAATCCAGTCATGCAATGGCCATGACTTTATGCAACAAATTATTACCGGTACCTGAACCATTAAAATAATATATAAGTCAAAATCAGAAATATATATTATATGCTTGTACAATAAATTCCTTTATCATAACAGTGTATCGCAGGAAATCCTGTGAATTGTCAGTTGTTAAACTTTGCCACTCAAGTGACAATCGGAAGTCCGCCATTGAACTTCCAATAAGCACTTCATAAACTTTCCCTTTACAATTCTTAAGACCCTCAATATATACTTCTCATAAGAGTGGCAAATATAAAGAATGAGTATATGCTATATTCATATAAATTTTCTAAGAATTTTAAATATCCATAAATTACGAAATTAATACAGGTCCTTTACTAACAAATGTTTTCCTAAATTATTGAGGGCGCTAACACGCCTGCTGGTAAAATTGTATGATACATTCCAAGTGTTAATTCTGATAATTCCTGTAGTAACACTATCGTATGAAACTCTATACAAGCTAAGATTACTTTTTTAGGTCTGCATTCATTTACTTTAGATAAATGCATTGATATCGCTATGGTGGTTTATGTCGTTATATAGTGTCACATGTATGAGGGTGCGTGGCCAGGGTTCAGGCACAATTAACTCTTCACCCTTCCCCATCAAAAAAAAAAAAAAAAAAAAAAAAAAAAAAAAGGCTCGAGCCCGGTCTCGGTTCATAATGCACTGAATGCTTCTAGCCTAAATATATTGTTTTTATAATAGTGACTTTTTGAAACAGAATAATATGTTTTGTTCCATTTCATTAATTCGTCTCATTGATTAAAATAACATAATAATCAATAGTCATCAACACAAGGAAAATTCACTGTTCCCTGGGAAAACCAAGACTGGATGGCTTTCCAAATCGGAAGTACTTCTCATTTAAGGTCATGTGGGTCACAAAGTAGGCCGAATATAATAAAAGAATTAGAATAACAATGCACAACAAAGAGTAAGAGGTAAAATTTTAGTCAGTTCAAACGATTTGCACTCGAACATTGCCTGTTTCAGTCATGTTAATTACACTCCGGATCCCTTTTTAAAGAACCAATAAAAATCTTAAATCTTTTAACGAAGGAACTCCAAATTCCCAATTTTCAGGTCCCAGGGGGTCCCAGGTGGTCTCGAATTGAATTAATCAGGGGCTGATGCTTCAAATGGTTTCCCCTAGAGAGACGGTATGCTCTTTTATCTCAACAATTAAAAAGAATCGGTGATTTCCAGACCTTTTACTACAAAATCTTTAAATTTAAATAGAATTGGTGCAGGGTTTATGAACATTGAAATAAATAGGCTTACTATACCAAAGAACTCGAAATGATGATGATGATGGTGATGATAATAATAATAATAATAATAATAATAATAATAATAATAATAATAATAATAATAATAATAATAATAATAATAAATAAATAATAATATCTGTATTTAACTTAAAATAATAATAATATAATAATAATAATAATAATAATAATAATAATAATAATAATGATAAGGATAATGCCAATGATAATAATAAGGAATGATGATTGCGATGATGATAATGATAATAATGATGATATGAATGAGATAAGGATAAGATAATGGTACAGTAATAGAAATGATAATAATATTAATAATAATAATATTTATTATTAATAATAAAAATATTTCAATTCAACTAAATCCAAATACACATTTATATTCTTTCCTTCATTAATACAAAACATACAGTAGAAATACAAAGTGAAACAGCAATCATAATATAATAATAGTAGTAGTAAGATAATTTTTAATTTTTACTTCCATTACCTTTTGTTTTCCTGTTAACAAAACCGGAATCATTTTTTTTCCCATAATTTTAATGTCATTATAGTACTGTACTAATTTGTAATATCGTTTGAATAATAGTGGGATGGGTGCATTGAAATTTGAAAAGGATCCAGGTTAGAACAGAACAATAATATGATTAATCGTTTGCTTTGCTATTTAAATAGGTATTGGTGACGTCACACAACAATGACTTCAGCTCTGTTGATTGGTTCCAAACGTAGCTCAAGGTTGCCATACTAGTAAGCCTATCATTAATTGCGCCGTAGTAGTGGTAGTAAGAGGAGCTGTCGTCTGCCGCGATGGATACACTATTGTTACAAGCTGTGGTCATACTTGAGGTACAGTTATATGTATTTTGTTTCACCTCAACTCTCTTTTAACCTTTACAATGATATTTAATAATATTCGTTGATTCGACAGTTGGTTTTTAGCATGGAGCTATAATGTTTTTAGAATGCCGTATACGGTATTGGGTTGGGATAACCCAGGTAACATACAATTTTCTTAATGTTTGTTATGGCATGGTTATGGTATGCGTGTGAGGTCACCGTGAAGAACAGATGCCCTTCCTGAAAAAGACTTGAACAGTAAATAAGGCTATTCTTTTAAATACGTTTCCTTGGCTAGAATGAAAGCACTGTTCAAATGCGAAATGTTATGTATATTCATGTTTTGATAAATATTATCGGCCTATCCACCTCGATCCATTATGATGGAAGTTAAGTCGTGGGGTGGGGAGGGAAGGCGATTAGATGGATTCTTGAATTAAATGATTGATCGATATTCGTGGGGTGGGGTGTGGTGTGGCACGAAGCGCTATTTGCGTACTTATACTGTCCGAGAGACATGAGTTATCGTAAACGCAATCGTTTACGCAATCGTTTACGTCTGGGTAAAACTATTAACGCTAAGATAGGTCTATTTAAAAGTTTTTGGGTTTTTTTTGCAATAATAAGGGGCCCTCTTTTAAATTTTACTAGGCCTCCACCAGCTATCATGACTCAAATATTGGGTCGCCGAAAATGTTAACAGTCATCAGTTTAATAGTTATCAGTCAAAATACAAAAAGATTTTCTCATGTCACCGACGCAGGACTTGCGAAATGTATTTCATGAGCACTCTCTTTTGATACACACAGATTTTTATTACCTCTTTAAATTAATAAAAGAATGCTATTAACAAAGTGAACAGAACAAAATACAGAGATGGAACTTTGCGGCACCAAAGTCGGTGTAGTGCTAATACTGTGTGACTTGAAAACAGGGCTATTGATGAAACACATTGCATTGATCAGAACTAAACACAGAAAGAACATGGCGACTCATATAGTCCTGTATGACTTTAACGTTTGTATCAGACAATCGAAATGTATTTTTATAAACACTGTTTATGGTTCACTAACTGTTCATTACCATGTAAAGGTTTACTAATATTATTAACGGTAAAACCCAATACACGTATTGCAAAATAACATAAATTTATTGTGTTTACCTCTATGATTTAACAATGTGCTTCTTCTACCATGGGTCATACCAGGGAACAGTGAAATCGTAATTTCACTGTTCCCTCATACAGTAAATCGGGCATCAGGACTCTGCAACCCTTAACATTTTATAAACTAAGATAACGTTTTTACTTCCTCTGGGTTGCTATGTTAAATTTAGCAGAGCTAAATAAGAATACCAATCTTGGGAGTTTTTTTTTTTTGTTTTTGTTTTTTTTTTTTGTAGTTGTGTTTATAGGGTTTAATTTAGATCTGAGTGGGGGAAACCCTTGCATCATAAGGTGATTTTTGGCTCTTTTGAAGCACACAGTGAAGAATGTCTTCACTTCATTGAAAATGTATTCATCGAAATTTTATTATGTTTTAAATATTTTTTTTATTATTTTGTTTTTTCTCGCGGGCCAAATTAAATTGCCTTGCGGGCCTGTGTTACAAACGTATTTCCGATTATTGGTTCTGGTGAAGGCGGGATGGGGTGGGACTTGGGTACGCCTATGTTGCCATCCCATGATCTACCACTGGAATCAATGGAAGCTACATTTTGAATGATTGATATACCGGTAGCTGAAGAAAATTACACTAAATGAAGAATATTGCAAAAAACGTTTAGGATCGATTAAGACTACGACCACCACTAACACCGCGAACGTGTCCACTGAGGAGCAGCGATAATGGCATAACTCCGTGTTGTTTGGACAACTTTAAATCTGATTATTATACAAGGATGGCTTAATTTCGGTATTTCTATAATTTAACTCAAATACTTTAGTAGATGAGGAAGTACGATTTCATGTCAAAGTTTATCTTACTACTTGAAACATCAAGGCCCGGTTACAGCTAGGTGCTTCCCCAGATTCTGCAAGTAATTAGCACATAATGCGTTAACTCATTAGAAGTCCTGCACTTAATTATATGTTTCGTCATTGGTCATTAGTTCGTCATTTTTTATGTTAGTAGCCTAGTTAATTAGTAACTTTTTAGTTTTGTGAAGGTGGTTTCAAATAACACAGATGAAACACAAAATCGGGACGACTTACCTATCTCCCGCCGCAAATTCATAAAATTTTGAATGTTTCCATGTTTCATCTTTTATCATTAGCTGTTCCCTCTATTAAAGACTCTCTCTATTTTGAGAGCAAATACTATGGCTTTGGCAGAGCCAAATAAAAAATTGTTAAATTAATCAATTAAAGACCACTATAAAATAAATAATGATGATAATGCAATTTTTCTATAAATAAATTTTGTTATGTATGATTTATAAGTAAAAATATTAGGCAATGCACATCATATACATGTTTTGCGTATACAATTTTTGTGTATATTGAATAACGATAATGTTAGTGCGATGTTAGTAATTACCGTACTGTAATATTTTAATGGACTTGGGTAAAACGAGTACAAGACTTCATGTCTGGCTACCATGAAATGTTTTATGAAGAATAAGCAGCCTGAGAATAAGTAAGCTCATACAGTCATCCATTTTAAAACATAAACAGTTAATGTATTATTTTTTAGTTTTACTAAAAAAGAGAAATCTAAAGACCACATTTAGCGCACAGGGTTCTCAAGTCCCCTGCAGAGTCCCAGGATGGAGTAAGTAAGTAAGTAACTTTATTGCTTCTCTTTTATAACAGAGGCACAGCCGTAAAGACATGCAACAATAAAAAAAATCAGTAAAAACTTAATTACTGTGATAAAATATAGTAAGAAAATACTGCGGTAGAACGAAATATAAATAAAAAAGGGTTTACAAAAATAGTAATAGAGATAAAAATAAATACTAATACTAATAATATAAGTAAGTTGGTTAATACATACACTTATACATATACACATACACACAAACATATATATACACATATATATATATACATATATACATATATATATACAGTATACATATATATATATATATATATACACACATACACACACACATACACGCATGCTTACATATACATACATACACACACACACAATACATTGCATAGACATACACACATACACACGCCCCTTCCACACCCATATTCACACATACATACATACATACATACATATACACATACATACACAAACACATACATATACATACTGTATATACATATAACAGAATAAATATTTTAAATTTAATTCAATAACATTCAATAACATGGAGTCTCCTAAAAATCGGCGGAAATGCCTGCTGCACTCCCGGGAAGAATCTTCTGGAAATAATCTCCCGAAAATTCACGGTATTTGCATGTTTTTACTACTGCATTATCAATTGTCTCCCGGAAGTCAGTGCCAATTGTTACAGTATCACTATGCACAGCAACATAATAATTTTGTAGATGTGTTTAGAAAAATCATTTAAACAGATCTCCCTGATGTGGAATCTTCCAACTTGGGACCCCTGAATTACCTTGTTAACATCATATTTATATGACAATACAAAAAGAAAGGAACAAAACAAGTGAAGACCTAAAAAAGCAAAGTTGTACGTACTAGGTCCTATATGTATAAAATGTATTAATTAAGTACACCTAAATTTACATGAAAAAAAGATAAAATGTAAGACAGTAGCTTGTATTCTAACTATGGAGTTGATGAGATATCTAAAAGCACCTCCGCTTCCTAGTGTTAAAAAGCAAAATTTTGGCCAAATTACCGTACGGTATTTATTCGAATAAACGCTAAATAAATGTTTATTTTTGAGAAGGGTATTCGAGGGAAGCGTTTATTATTTTTTGGTTTAAAATGGATACCGTACGTTGATCAAATAAACACCCTTTAATTTCACTGTAAATGTGGAAACAACACATAATTACCGTCGAAATGTGTTATTCTGTGAACATCCTAAAGTTTGTTGATCCCAACAGGGAGTTGTTATGATCCCAACTTAACCAAGTTAGAAAATAATGTAATTATACTGGAGTAGAACATTAATAGAATGTGTTGAGAATGATGTGCTTCCATTAGTTGTCTTTACAGATGTTTAGGGGGCGTTTATTCGAAAATAAAAAATAAAGGCCCCGGGCGTTTATTCGAGGTAGGCATTATTTCAAATGGGGCTCTGAAAGGGGCGTTTAATCGAGGGACGTTTATTCAAAGTGTGGCTTTTATTCGAATAAGTATACGGTAAGTATATTCTTTAAACCTTGAAAACGTTTTCACGATACGTATTATCACTCAGTTTTTGGTTTGGTGTTTTTTCCGTAACCGTTGCCAACAGAAGAATGCATGGCTGAATGTAAACACACGCCTTGTTGTTGTAAGTTCTCTTGGGTAAAATCTGGAAAATCCGTTTTTTAAACATCGTCAGATATAGGCGATCACATTACTGAACTTAAAAAATCAATACAAACTGATTTGCGATGATTTACATTACATAAATTCTGTGCGAGGAAAAGATTTTCTTTCAGTCGAAAGAAGGAAATAATTATTTTAATGCCATGGTTTACAATTTCAACTATTGAACGTTATTACAAGACATTATCAATTGAGAAAATACACATTTAGACTTCTACATCTCTCTATTTACAATGATGCTGTTAAGCAATTGAAACTATATCTAAATCATATCTGCCTGTTATTTTGTGATTCCAAAGTCTAATTGTGTTCACTGCGATAGGCCTACCCATGCAACAAAGCCTATATCGATTTCATCACACATGTTATTGTTTTTTATACGATTGATTTTCTGCTGGGATTCCGACATAAATCAGTTAAATATACATATTAAAGCTATAGAACGAATAGGGCAAAGCGAAAGTCAATTATATTTCACAGATGTCATTTTGAATCAATAGTATTAATAACAACAAAATATTAGAATTGATAACTAAAATTATAATGATAGGCCTAATAATAATAGTGATAATAATAATGTTCACTCGCGATAAAGATAGTACAACTTCTTTTGAAAATGATAACAATAGAAAGAAATAGGCCTATATTACTATTATTAGACCATCAGTGGAAATAGCACTCTCAAATTTAAATTCGATTATAATTGTCCTTATTTTTCCCCATGTATTTACAATTTGGACAAATTCAAGGACGGGTGTAGGGAACCGGGCCTGCTCGCACCCCCCTTCCCTCCCCTTTGAATCCGCCACTGCTAATGTTTGTTTATGAGCTGTTTGGGGGAAATCTGTTTATCTCTCAACCTCTGCGACGTGAACATTTCAACACCTTTAATATTAAAATCCTAAAATTGATTTTGAGTCATTGAAGAACACACGAACGTCTGGTATTATATTATTTTGCGTCTGTTTTTGGCGAAGAGAATATTTTCTTATTCAATTGAACGTAACGTTAAATTACAAAGTTAGTAATTCAGTATTGAATTATATTTGTAATTTTTTGGCTCAACGCAGAAAAGTAAGAGTTTAACAACCACTAGAATTGTTCTGCTCTTTTAGAATATAAACTTTTCCAACATATTCAACATGTATATAAATATAGTCCTATTTCTGAAAAAGATTAAATCTTATTGCCTGAATCATTGGCCCTATGAATGCCACCAACCAACGCATGTCATACGTTTTTCTAGCGTTGGTGGTTTTTCATTGTATAGTATCGTCATGCATTAGTACTATCAAATAGTGCAAAATGATTTTGCGTTTTCCTTTTTAAAAAGAAAATAAATTACTGAGCCAGAAAATTGACAAGTGGTGATTCATATCATGGTAAATGTAGTGAGTAGCGCGTTTTATTGTTAATGCTCAGCATTTTGTTTTCATTAGTTATTGTTCCGTCAAATCTCTTAGATATCCTAGAGATGCCAAGTAGCCCTATGGCATGCATGGCCAATGAAACGTCTGACGATTACCATTGTATTCATATATTTAGGCCAACCAGTTCCCAAAAAAGCCTAGAAATCGCCTAGCACAATTCCTTATATGATGTGATGTTTGTACCGTAAATATTGTGACTCATGTTGCGATTTTGTTGTTTTTTTTTTGGCGCGAGTTGGGGCAAGGTGTGAGAGGTACCGTATTAAGTATACGTCACGACACAGATAGTTATAAGCGTATGATTTTTTTTTGTAGTCGTAAGTGTCGTAGCGCACACATTGTACTCTTACGATGGTCATAAGACCGTTGACCGAAGAATCCATCTGCGTCCTCTGTGAGCGCTCGAAAACTATTAAAAACATCCGACGTAGGCGCGTCGTTGCGTTGTGATTTTTGTGGAATCTCGTCGGCCGCGATTCCATAATTCAATAATAATAATAATAATAATAATAATAATAATAATAATAAAATAATAATAATATTAATAATAATAATAATATTAATAATAATAATAATAATATTAATAATAATAATAATAATAATAAATATTATTATTATTATTATTATGTAGGTTTTTAATAATAATAATAATAATAATAATAATAATAATAATAATAATAAAATAATAATAATATTAATAATAATAATAATATTAATAATAATAATAATAATATTAATAATAATAATAATAATAATAATAATAATAATAATAATAATAATAATAATAATAATAATAATAATAAATATTATTATTATTATTATTATGTAGGTTTTTATGTAGCGCTTTTCACATTATTACCCCAGTGATTAAAACGATGCCTATGGGGGAAATTACCGATAAACAAAATAGTTTTAAATGCTGTTAAGTGCTTTACAGGACTATTAACTTGTTTTTATAATACTTACCAAATTGTATAATTTACATTGAACAAGCGTTTAAGGTGCCGTTTATTATTTATAATGATATGAGTCTGAGTAAACAAACACTAGAAGACAGTTCCTGATCCGGGACTTATCAATATGGTATTGACCAGATTAAAAATACTGTATTCTATGATTCCTAATCTTTTTGGTATCAGCATTAATGCGACTATTATTTTAATTCGATGACGTGTGATTGTAAGCCAAGTTGCCAAGTGTATATCATTGTTATTATGATTGTCAAAGTCATGCCATTTGGTGTTGTCACAATCAATGCAATTTTGAATGACACACACACAGTGCGAATCGTGTTTTTCTTGTAATGTCATAGCCTACATGATCAATGGGTATTTTTCACAAGGAACTTCAATGAGAAAAACTCGATCATCGATTGAAATATATAATAAAAATACACTATCAAAACATTTGTACTTCAGGTATCATGACAACCTGAATGTGTTAGTTTTGTTCATTTCAATGTGTATGACTTTCACCTGAAAATCGTAACGAGAAAACCTTTTTCTCTTCAATTAAGTATGTCTATGTCTTCGCATAACCCATCAATCACCTTTATACAACATATGGGTCGCGACCAATGTTTGAGTCGCGGAAAAAATTAGATATGTCGCATAATCTCTTTAGTGAAAAAGCTACTTATTGTTATCAAAGTTTCATGTTAAAAAATATACTATCAAAACATGGCCTAGGCCTACTTCAGCTATGACAACCTGTTAGTTTTGTTCATTTCTACAGTGTTTGGCTTTGAAAATGTTTCAAAATGTGTCTGTCTTCGCATAACCCATAGATTTCTGGCAGCAAATAAGGATTTTATGTATAGTAAAATGTCTGTAAATCATTAATTTTTACAAACCTTTAACGTAGGCCTAGTTGAAAATTTGATAACATACGTGGTTTTGTTAAATTATTAATTCAAAGTTATATTTTAATTTTTATGGGTATTAAATTGATTTGTGGATAATAGTATAATTTTCCAAAAGAATCAAGTGGGTATGTATCTTCTAATACCAGCTATCCCTCGCCCGATAAAAAAACAAAAACAAAAACAAAAAAACGACCGGCGTGATTTATTGACTTCGGGTTCGATGGGTCGCGTCTGAGTGCTTGACGTGTAATTTGGGTCATGGGCTAAAAATATTGCGGAACGGGACTGTAGGTGACATGAGAACGGGCATGGAAAGTGCCTCACCAATATATTTTTTTTATAAGCGCCGCTCTCGAATAAGCGGCGTACTGAAGGCCTACAAGAAAGTTATAAGCCCCGTGGAGCTTATTCGAGCATTTACGGTAAATGCGTTTTGTTGCTAAACGTGTGAGATTGAACACAAAATACAATTCTGAGAGGTAGTATTTCTAAACACGTTTAGCCTTTAAACATTTTTCTGGGGGCGACCATGCTAAACACGTCTCAAATATTTAAATGCTCTACGGTGCTTTGAAGTCACATTCCCTAATGAAGTATGTTTCTGTTTGTCATTTTCTTGTCCGGCATGAAGTTTAATAGTAAACAACGAAAGTTTTCGGTCATTTACCATTATCATGTTACATAAGAAGGTAAACCTTACGTAAATAAGATTCCGATATGATATAATAATTTTATAAATAATTTATAAAACATTCGCCAAAACACATAAACATATGTATATAATGATCGATATGTATAGAAGATAAAGAATATAAATACAGTATAGCATATACCTTCTATATAAAGAATTGTATACTTATGAACGCGAATAAAGTTATAGGCATACTTTCACTTTCCCTAAACTTAACGTATCAGATTCTAAATTACGTATGGAATGTGGGACCATTGTATAAAACACAGAAACGCCAGTCTCAAGCTATGTTTTATATCTCAAAATGTGTATAAAACAAAATTTGATATCCAACATTTAATGTACTCGACTTTCAGATATCAATGACATGAACTTTTTAAACGGTATTTTTCTTTTCAATAGATTGTCAAGTCGTTTGCTTCTATGGGTTGTAGTGCTTGGTCTAAGTTATTTTTTAAATTTGTAATTCACTGCTTTGTAGACCTTCGACTGAGTCAAGTCGTTTTTTATTTTGCATCAACAGGTTTTGAATTTTGGAAGTAAATTATTGTTATTATTTAATCAATAGGTTGTAGTCCTTGGATTAAGTGAAGTCGTCATTGAAATTAAGCTGGAACACTATAATAATCCATCAAGCAAGGAACTAGATGGCGATTGTTGTGATTTCAGTTTTGGATCATGCACTTCAAATCCCTGTGATAATATATTTAAAGTTTGTCTCGACAATCCTGGTAGGTAAGTAGCATTTCAAGTAATACAATTTGTTATATTA